TGGTTCGGACTTCAGGACAAAAAACAACAAGCACACCAATTTAAGGCTATTTTTCCCCAGAGCAAAAGGCATTGCTTTGATTTCTCGTTTCAACTTCTGTCAGCGTTTTGGTATTTCGTCTTTATGTCGTGGTTGAATCTAACCAACCCACTCTTCTGGGCTCTTGACTCTTTCCGCAGCCTTTCTACTGCTTCTCCTTGGCTCCTTCTTACTGCTGCCTTCCAGCCACACCCCTGATCTTATAATAGGAAAGATCTATACCTCATCTTCTCGGACAAGGGCGAAAAATCTTGGAGGTCCCGTGTGAAAGTCGCGCACGTTAAAGGTCCCTTGGTGGTTAAAAAATCGATAAGAGTAGGCTTCGGCCGCCACCCGTGCAAAATTCAAAATGTCCTACCAACTGCAAATTAAATGTTTAATGTGCCACGCGCGCTCAGCTGACCTTATGCAGTTGCGAACGCCATAAAACACTTTAAAAAATCCTACTAGTGAATATCTAACTCCAAAAACAATCCTAGAGACATCTCTTGCACCTCAACACATTTGTGTCATGACGCAGTGGAGTAAGACACACGTCCACTTTTGGGCATGTGCCGTGTTTTATAGAATCTCAAAGCTTGTTCATTTGTCTTACTTTCGGTGAAACAAATTCCCGTCTTCCTAGAACAGAAGTCGAAACATTTGCGATTGAAGTAGATGGGATCACCTAGTTTCAAAGATAAGATTAGAGAGAAAATGGCCGCCAAAGTACAACTTTGTGCCTTAATCCACTTGTTTTCTTTCCGTAAAATCGAGAAAGAAATATGTTTTAGTGGACATAAAAAGTGTTTATTTCAAGGAGAATTGGCCAAAAGCCGTACGAATGGACGAGCACCTTATGTCACCATGATGCCACACGCCATTTAATGTTGGTCAACTCGCAACTGCATGAGGTCATATGAGTGCCAGAAGATTAGAGGTGTTACAAGAGAGTAACAAACATAAAAAAGGAGAAGGTGAGATAAGGACGATAGATGTTTGACAGGAAAGAAGAAGCAAACCACACCAGAGCACCTGCCAACCACTCACAACAAGATCTTTATCTCAGAGCTACTCTTTTCAGAAAAATGTAGCTGACCTTGTCATGTTATTCAAGAGTTAACACTCCTTGCATTTAGATGTACGGACACAATTTTCACGGATGTCATTTCCCTCTTTAGAAAATCATTTATAGCGAGGTTTTCACCTTCTTCAGGAAAGTTTGATGGAAAGAGAGGCTGAGGCAGACAGAGGGAAAAGATACTGGACAAGATGACAACATGGCTGGGAGCAGCAAGAACAACAGACACCATTGCTGCATCGAAAGACAGATGGAAGTGGAGGTCCATGATCGCCCACGCCAGTCGGCAAGGCACGGAATGATGATGATGATTACCTTCTTCTAAAGGTTATCACCAGCTTATGATT